GTATCAACTAAATAAAGATGAAAAAACCCGCCAAGTGTCTTAATTTAAAGCACTTTATTGTGTTAGAAGCATAAACAAATTGTAAAGCACGGTTTCATATCATCAAAATATAAATACATATTGTGCGATTGTTTTCATAAACAAGTTCTTATATCTTTGTTTCATTTCAATGTATCTATTTTAGAATTAAAATAAATTAACTGTTTATTTTCGTCATTTCCAGTATGTTTATAATTTTTACGGAAACACATTTTCCCTATTATCAAATGTCACCACACGCCAGTTTCCAAACCATTCCAAATCATATGTAGGAGAGAAATCAAGAGCTTTCTGGGTCCTGCAAGTACAAATTTCCAATGTCCTTTCGGAGGTTGACTGTCCCGGGACATTATTGGTCGGCGATCTGTAGGGAGAGAGAGATGACGAGTCCGAAATAGAGTCGGTGACGCTTTTTCCAGAGGGGTGCGCACAATAGAAATGACAGATTGAGAAGCTCTTCGTGTCCTTTTAATTGTCATTTTTATAACTTTTCCGATTGGTCGATCTTACTCATCTCCGCTTTCTAATTGGTATTCACTCGTTACAAAGTGAAACGAGATCGGAACCCAGATCGCGGGATGAGTCAACATCGTGTCAATTCGATCCCAATCGAAGATGGTTGATCTTAGGACTTACATCATTCTATTGTTATAACACGAGAAGTACTCTCATTTCCTATAATTCAAATGTGTCCTTTTATGGCCATGCAATTTCTACCTTTTTACTTAAAACGTTTTATAAATTTTTTCTACAAGAAAACAATGTTTTTTCTCATTTTTATGTGGTTCCGGTCCACTTCTGAAGCCTCACAAAAATGTCTGCAATTATCGAACTTTCCTCTTTTCAGATTTATATTGATGATAAAAAGGTCTTAGTCTAGATCTCAACACAAGTTGTCAAAGATCTTAATTTTTGTAAATTTTACATGGTTTTTAAGATTATTTATTCTTTTAAAAATTAACTGTTTGTCCGATAACGATGATAATTCAACCAAAATATTATTTTATTTATAAAGCTTTGTTATCCTTGCCGTTGGAATAGTCCTAGATTCTTCTACTATTACCATAAAGGCGTAAACAGCTCTTATACTTTACTACTCAGATTATCACCTGTCTCCATCACATCCTGAATTGCTATATTTTTTCCTCCCAACTCATTTGCCAACGAGTCAACACTATGCAAAAGAAAAATATCTTTGCTTTGAGATTCCTGCTTAAACTTAAAAATTTCCTTCAGTTTAGTTTCAATCTTAGTCAACCTTTCATCGCTTTTATGTAAATTAACAAGCCAATCGATTCTAGCAGATACCTTGCTTAAAGCATTAAAGACTGTATCAAACCTTTTTGTCTAAATATGAAAGTATTTTGTTAGGAATAGACTTACTTGATTCAGATTTAGCAGGAAAAAAATCATCCAATTTCGCAATTTTCAACGTAGGTTTGCTAGAATGACGTCTCTTTCTCTTAACATTAGGAAACTGAACTGGTGAATCAAGAGGAATATGGGATAAAGGACTGTGATTTTCCTCTATTCCACTGAGAATCAACAGAAATATCGATACAACTACGAAAAAAAGCAATATTTTCCATAATTTATAACTTTTCAAAAGTCACTAACAAGCTTCACCAACAGGTTCTGCTGACTACGGCATTACCCAGATGAAAAGTAATAAAAACAAACATCAAAATCATATTAAAACTTCAATTATTTTAGTCCAGACAGTGTAGAGCATACCTGCTAGTTCATTTATAAAATCAATGCTTATCTGTTACTTTTTTAATAAAATTTATTATTAATGAACAGGTTATATCTTAAAGTCAGATGGACATTTTTACAATACACAGCTTATAAAACATAAATTTGGAATCAAATATGGGATCTCTGTTGATATTAAATCAAAATCTTTCAAATTATTTAACAGAGCCGTAGTTTACAAAAGAGAAAAATAATTGAAAAATTTAATTTTTCTCAAAGAAATTCAGAGAAAAATACTGAATATTATAAGAATAATGGAAAGAAAAGTGTTATCAATATTTGTAAAATTTTACAGAAAGAAAGAAGTGTATGTAATACTCGTTTTGATAATGTAACTAGCAAAAGAAATCTGTAACTATTTATTATAAAAATGAATTGGACACTTTAGACAAGATGTCTCAGTAGACATACACATATCTTCTACATTAAAATGTAACAGTTGAAAATATAAGAACATAAATATCTAAAAGAAATAAAAACTCTCTCATGGACACAATATTTTTAAGAAATAAGCTTCTGAAAGTGTTTTATAGAAATAATATGCACTAAATTTTCTAATTATGAAATGAAATAATCATTTCTACATAGTCATTTTTTGAGTATATAATTTTAATAAATAATTTGAATTCAATGAAAATTTTATTTGAAGTATATTCCATTTTATATTAAAATTTATATTCTACAAAATGCTAGAACTAATTAACAAAAAAGCAATTGTTAAAAATACAAAAAAATGAATAAGAACTCTACAACTATTCTTTTTTGTTAAACAAACTATCAGCTTCCTATTGTTAATACAGAGCAAGTTACAAAATATTCTTAAGCATGTAATTTCCTGAAGAAAGAAATTCTTAAGAGAATTTGAAGCCAACTAAATTCATTTACTTTAACTTCTAAGAACTGAAATGAAGTAATATTTTTTAAGAGCATTTCAAAACATTGTATATGTAGAAAAAGAGAAACAACGAAAATGATACCATTTAACAGGATTTATCCATTCTCCCAAAAGCATGTGTAACCGAACAGACTGGGCATAACCCTTCCAAATTGACAGACGTGACAATGTTATCATCTGTTGACTAAACATTACAGGTCGTTTATTCACATGTACTGTACAGTACTATACAGTTTAAGGGGAGTCATAAAAAACACATCTTGTACATAGCAGGGAGGAGGGAGTAGAGGCATTGTGTACATGGACATTTTTGGGTGGTATTAGTGGCATACAAATTTGTTCTTATAAGCCTACTTAATAATCATATGAATAAACTTTTGATTAGAAAAAGTTTATTTTTGTTAAAGATGTCATAGCAATGTGATCAAATGTTTATTCACTATATTCAAATATTCAATATAAATAATCTGGCCTCATCCTGTAAATATCTGTTCAATAAATTTTAATCTTAATGTCATGTGTGATCAGTTCTAAAAAGTCAATTTTTTTCAAATACTGTATATAGTATAGGAAAAATTAGTTTTATCTATATATCTCTATCAAACAGTATCATTATTATTATTATATTCTTGCTTGGTATTATAGCACTTTACATTTTTATCTTTAAAAAAATAATAATATTGACAAACAACATCTCTAGACCCAATATATAATATAGCTAGACACCAACCAAGTGCCGAAATTCTATCTAGTTTAAGGCTAATTAGTCTTAAACTAGCCCGATAGAATTTCAGCATTTGGTTGGTGTCTAGCTATAATATTGACAATTAACATACTTTGTAAATATATCACAAATGGTATATATATATAGCTAATAATAATAATTAACTAAATTAATTAAATAGTAATTACCTCTGTATAACAAACTACAGTCAACCCCCTATAACACTGTTGATAATTCTGTTTTATATGAATTCCATATTGTACAAGTCACTTAGATTTTACAAATACGTGAGCCGTTCACCATTTTACAAGCCCGGCACATGTATTTGTAAAATCNAATAAAAAAATAATTTTTAACGATACAATAGTCTTTGTTAGGCTTAACATCGACGAAAATTCAACGCGAAGCGACACGCAACGGAGAAAAATTTTGACATCGGATACGTTAAACTATTTTTTCGTACGTAAATCAGTTATCCGGACAATGCCAGTCCCCAATTGATTCGGAAAATCGACACTCTACTGTATTAGTTAATTTGTTATAAGTCATCAAGAATTGTTAGTCTGCTACCACTTTAACAACAGCTAGTGTATAATTGAAGTAAGAAATAACCAGAATTTAGCTATTATACTATGAGCAAATATTGATTAAAACAATTAATATTTAATGTTTAAAGCCACTTGTTAAAGCTGATAGCCTGAAAATAAAACTTAAAAATGTTTATTTGTTTGAAGATAGCAGTAAGCAAAATACTATAATGTTAACATATCCCAAAGCTTATATGCTTTGGGACATGCTAATTTTGATAATGTTAATTAAATAACTGATAACAATATCTATGAAAACGATAAGAAGATTATACTGTGTTATGAAATATATTCATAATAATAATTGTTCATATGGAGATTTCTTATAAATATTTAACAAAAAAAAATCAAAGTACCAAAAGCTGCAGAATTAAATAAAAAACGTGTTTCAAAACATACTACAGTCAACCCCCTATAACACTGTTGATAATTCTGTTTTATATGAATTCCATATTGTACAAGTCACTTAGATTTTACAAATACGTGAGCCGTTCACCATTTTACAAGCCCGGCACATGTATTTGTAAAATCTAAATCACTCATACAACATGGAATTCATATAAAACAAATTATCAACAGTGTTATAGGGGAGTCGACTGTATTGCATTAGCGGTTAGATTTACAAAACCATGATTAAATAGATACAGAATATTTGAAAAAATGTAGAATTTTATTTACTGTCCTCTGAAGATAAAGCAGCACTATTGATTACATATTTCATTTTATCTTTGCATTGATATTGTTATTCTTAGTGATATAGTAAGCAGTTATGAAAAGAAAAATTTCATAAAATAAAGAATTAAATTTCTCTCTGAAAAAGTATCAAGACTTCTGGGTGTATATATTTGTTCTTAATAAATAAATATTTTACATTAGAATTAAAATGAATTAGAAATTTTGAAATAAAATTATCCAATATTTAAACTGATAACATCATCATCTAAATAGTATTTAAACTGATACAGTTTACTGTATATATTTGACAGTTCTTTAAGAATTATCATCCTCCATGTAATGTTGATATAAAATGAATTTGGTCATTTGGTTGTATAACATAATCCAATTCGTCGAGGAGTTCCCAATCTACGTCGTTGATTAATACTAAAATTCCGGGACGAATGGTTTCACCTTGAATGAAAAGTTCTGGTCGTTCCTTCAAAATGTTTTCTTTCATCCACGTTAATAGTGTTTTAATCTTCCACGTTTTATTTTCTGTTAAAGTCACTTCGATTTTCTTCTTGTTATCAAATAGCATTTCTAATCCACCGCTAAATAACAACGATACATTTAAATCTCCGTTTTCGTCCATTATCAAAAAACTCGTGAAACAACACGTGTTCGTTCCACAAAAATAACATAAGCAGTGTTGCCAATACTTGAAGAATNAATTGTTTATTTTAATTAAAAATAGTAAATAGTACATAAGGAAATATTTTATTTAGGAATATTATAGATAATTATTTTTTTTCTGTTTAGATGAAATTTTCCTCATTTTATATAAAGAACTTTATTATCGTCACATTTATGCAAGAGTACCGGTAAGATGTAATAACCTGAATTATAAGTTTCAATTTTGTTACAATTTACTTTATTGAAAACCATTTTCCTGTTTCTCACTTAATAGATATATAGATATAACACATTAGATTGTGTCATTTTAATATTGTGAGTAGACAATAAACTGAAAGTGAGTTGAATTCCCTCTCTATAAATATGAAAGATAAAGTAAGAAAAAAGAAAATGTATAAATAAAATTCTACAGATATTAATCTGTATGATAGATATTAGCTATTGTTATTTTGTAATATTGGTCATATCTATTTTTTATATAAAAACTTAAAAATTATTTTAAAGATTTTTATGGAGTTTTGTGCTTAACTTGAAGCTTTAAATACTTTGATTTCTTTAAATATTATAATGTTATTGAATGAAATGTGTTTTAGATAGTGAATAAAAACAGAGAAACTGTAACTTGGTATTTTAATTTTGAATATTTATTTAAA